TAAGGTGTTTAGAATAAACTTTATAATAAAAATAAACAAAGGAAAGTTTAAGAATCGATATTATATAAAGTTTACCTCGGTAATTTACCTTAAAAGTTCTCTAAAAAAAACTTCAAAAGGGTATTCAAGGTTTTAGATTGCCAAAACTTGGCCTTCCCTCCTGACTTTTTTGTTGGTTTAATTTTTTGTGGTTGGTATTTGATTTTTTTTTTTTTTGCAAGCTGTTGACTGCAAGTGCCATTGGCTTTGTTGCTGTTATTGGTGTTTTGCCGGGGTTTTTGCTGCTTTTGTGGGCTCCTGTAACTGTTGCGGTTCCGTCAACGTCATCATCCCCGGACGTCTGGCACCCTGGAGAAGTCAATGAACCTGCCGGGTCTCTAATGTTCAGAGGAACCAGGCGACAATAAAACTTTTCAGCTCCATTGGCCACTTGACCGCCGACGACGAAGGCGGGGTTTGAAAATTTTGGGCCATTACATTTGATGATCGATCGATTGTTATGATTATGGAAGAATTTTGCCCGCTGCAGCTTTTCCCTGTCAGCCAAATGGGATGCCCATGCAAATGAACCGAACGATTCTGGAAATGTGTTTGGCATGCCCGATTAACATACCAACTAATGTTTAAAAATTGCAAATTAGCTAAAAACAAACAAAAAACAATCATAGTCGAATAGAGTCACCAGCATGACTCTGGGCTCTGGAATCCCTTGTTTATGTTCGTGCCAGGCCAGATCTTTATCGGCTAGTGCGAATAACTAAATTCGTTGCGACACGCAAAGAAATAAAAGCTCACTTAAAATGGATTTAGTACCTGTCCAAAACAACTAAGAACAAAAAAAAATGTTTCTTCAAGAATTAAGCAAGGCCATTGAAGTAGAGAACAGCCAATTGCAATCAATATATGGATTCGGTATTATTTCAGCAATAACATTTTGTCTTCACTATCTAATAAGAATTTCAACATCAATCTATTATATCATTTTATATAATTTTGAAGGGTAATTTTAGGGATGTGCATACATAAGAATTTTAACTGAATGGATATCTCCCAATAATATCCGTTCTGATAAATAATACATACCACATTTTCCCTAAGCAAAAATAGTTATAAGGAACTTAAAGTTAAGAACTTACACCTCTTAATAAGTAACTTAATTTAAGGTGGAAAATAACTTCTTAGTGAGTTCTGACAACAAAGAGTTGATATATGTTTTAAAAATTACCACGCCACTCGCGTCATTTAATAAAAACAATGGGTGAGTAGGGTCTGTAAATTGAAGGCAATTTGAGACCGATGGCTCCTAATTAGCACGCCGCTGTTGTAGAAATAAGAGGCGTGCGAAAATCCAATAGTCGAAACAAACAGCGGACCCCAAGCCCAAAATCCAGATAGTTAGATTAGAAGGGGGCTCGAAAGTGGGGAAAGAATAGTGTAGAATAGAAAGCGCCCCCTTGCGCGAGAAAAAGTGAAACGGACACCACAACAATGAAAAAATCAATTTAAATTGAATTATACAATGCCAGCACACGGCGAACTCAAATAAAAGCGAATTGCATGGCACAACAAAAGTAAAAATAAAACCAAAACGAGATGCTCAAACGGGTTTAACGCTCCTTCTCGAAGAAATGTATGGTATGGGTATATAAAAGATGAAACGATTCTGAATGAATGGGCCCAAGTAGGGAATCGAGTAAGGCTAAATAAAGATGAGCAGCATAAATTAAAGAGCCCCCCCAATCTTGCGTCTGCAATTTTGTAACACTTTGTCTGCTCCGATTCTTATGTTGGTTTTATTTTTAACCAATCCCAATGCGAATCGAGTGCAAAATCGGTCTAGACGGATATAATTTAATTGGACCCAGAAAAACACCCAATTTTCTTTGTTTGCCAAATGACTGAGAGATCCGGTTTTTGATTTTGACAGGGTAAACAGACGCTTTTGGGGGTGGTTGTCCGAATATTGATTATTGCAGTGTTTTTGATTTCTCACCTTCTGTTGAACGCTGATTTGGTTAATAACTTTTACGAGTTTCCTTAACTCCCTCGCACACACACATGGTACAATTTCCCCGTAATCCTTCGCACACACAAACACACGTGCACTTACACCCGCGCAAAAACAATTACAGTAGGGCAGCAAATGCTCATCAGAAAGGTGTAGTATTAGTCAAATATAATTGCTTGGCCCAAAGTTTGACTAACACTTGATGCAAATTCCCGTCGTAATCAATAAAATGCGACAATGCGACCGAGCGGCAAAGTTGTTTGGAATGAAGACAGCTAAAAGACGTCCGGCCCCCACAACCGAGCGATTTGAAATTTTTTCAAGAACTGAGGTGGGCAAACCTCGATTTTATATCGATATGTTTTGCCATCAGGCGTTTTTTGACCTGCAGATGCGGTCACACTACAGGGTTTCCTTTAAAGCGCCAATGCGGCCAAAAAGTGAAACACTTATGTAAGTTCCGAATGTAGAACTAAAAACTGGGGTTAATGTAAGTTATTTACGGTTTGCAATCGCCAGATCGCGTTTCTTTTCGAAATTAAATTAAATTTTCGAAACACTCGTTATTATATTGTCTTAGCATAATCTCTACCCATCTAGACAGTTTTGTAGAAGGTATTATAATTTCGGTCAGAAAAGGATACCATATTGGGGATGCTGCGATTAAAGTTAAGTCAAGATACAATACAAGTTCTTTACCTTTTCATTAATTCGTTTTTTCCCTAACTTATTTTTTGTGTGAAAAAATTATTTAAATTATATTTATTACAATTTTGAAAAATTAATATTTTTTTCAAATAAATGCCTTAAATTTAAAATGCCCACCCCAGAAAAACAGAGCTTTTTTACTGGTAGGCTAAACTTGCCGTGTCCTTCTATTGCTCTCTCATTCACCCAATCCAATTCGATAAATATTCGATAGGCGGAGGGGCTTGAAATATCAGTGATATTTAAAGATTTCGTGATAAATAATTTAGATGAATACAAATTAATAAAATAGTAATATTAAAATAAAGAATAGCAGAAAATGTCTATAGAAAGTGCCAGTGAATTCGATACCTATCGGTAACGTTTATTTGCAGGGCCATCTATCGGTAACGTTCAATTTGCTGGAATACGAGCAACATTTACTGATTGCTATTTAAAATTCCCAGTTATCCTTTCCGCCGCCTAGTCCTCGTAAAAGTAACCCCCCGGAACTGGGTTTACGGGTCGTATCATCATGCGCGAGTTTTTCGGTTTATCGGTCCCGGTGCGCCAATTCGACCAGATGATGGCTGGACTTGCTCTCTGGTGGACACCAAGTTCTCCATTCAGATTGGACTGGGTGCAGCCATCGAACCACCAACCTCCGCCGTACTGCTCGGCGCAGTTGGAATCCCTGGGGTACTCGGTATCCCCATTCCTTCGCCGATCGTGTGTGCTAAATTCCGTTCCATTGAGCTGCGCCAGAACATCTGGCAACGAACCCCGAAAGTCACCTTCCACCGACAGCTGGTAGTTGTAGCGCTCGCTGTCCAGTCGGAAAAGTGAATACTCCGCCCAATCCACAGGTTCCTGATCCTCCTCCTGCAACTCCACCCTCAACTCATGATCGTCGCGATAGAGAATTTTGTGTGTGAACTCGTTGCCGAACCAGAAATCCCGGGATAAATTGCCAAAACCCGCGCGGTACTCCTCCCAGCTGCGATTAAAGTTCTCAAGGGGATCGAAGAAACCACCTCTGTTCTGGATCACCGTCCAAGCGGGACCATCTGTGGCGAAGGCGCAGTAACGCTCGTGCAAATCGCGCTGGACTTCATTCCGCTCGGGAACCAGAAACCTATAGACGCCATCCACCCGTACAGCTTCATCCAGCTCATAACAATCCGATTTGGCGGGCTGGTGAAAATCTGGGAAGGATTAAAAGGTGAGTTTATGGATCTATTATTATGTTAAGTTTTTATTTAGCACACCAACGTACCAACTTTCGGGATGACCTTAACTTTATGAACATCCTTCTGCAAGGTCTGATTTTGGGATGTTTTCAGAAGCCTCGAGCTGTTTTTCTGACAAGCCTTTAAAAATTGCTGATCAAGATCCTCCTGGCTCAGTCGCTTGAGCAATGTATTCAGACGCTCTGATAGCTCTGTAAAAGGATCTGCTTTGGAGAAGAATCTCCCCGGTGCATGCACATCCGCATCGGAAAGGAAGACCACCTTGCTCAGCACATGGTGGAGGTTTATTTCCAAGCCCCTTAGCGTCAGAGCCTGTCTAGCCAGAGTCTTTCTAATCAAAGTTAGCTCCTCCAAAGATTTCAAGCCTATATCAGAGTTCCTAATCCGACTCATAGTATGAGTGCTGCCCAGGAAAACAGAGCTCCAGGCCAGCAGGAAAATCAAAGAAAACTTCTTCAACGGAAATTAGTAGGTTGTCAGAAAACAATTCTTTTATCCGCTCTTACCATCATCCCAATTCCAAGTTCAATTACCAACTAACTGAAGTCTGCTTAGAAAATTTCCATCACACATGTTCCCAAAATCCACCATCTGTTCTATGTCCCATAGATCACTTTTGGCGCTCCATGTGTCACTTTTAAGAATATATAATTCTGTATTTTCTCGGTCCTTAGTTAGTCTTCACAATTCTGTTGTATTTCTTTTCAAGTTTTAACGATTGAATCTGGATTCTAGCTTTGCGGTGAAACATACACAGTATATAGTAAAAAACGAAAATAGATTAAACATTTTCACGGGCTTAGCCGCACTAGGTTTGCTCATGGTTTTGTTGTTTTTTTTTTATATTTTTAATTGCTACAATTAGCCACTAACGTTTAAAGTAAAAATGAAAACGTCTAAGCAACTAAAATACCGCCTTCGCATTCCTCTCTATACATTTACAGTTGATAAACTTTTAAAAATACAAGAAATACGGCCCTAGAGCCAGCTGATTAATTGATAGGCTTGGTTTAGTTGTTATATCGTTTTGTGCAGGTGCGAATACATTTCAAATCTTCAGCTATCTGCTCTCTTGGCATTTACATGTTTTTATTTATGCATATAGTATATTTAAATGTGTTTTTATTTAGATTAGCTTAGTATTGTATCATTAGCTCACTTTGGCTTGAAGCCCAAGTGTTGGTTTGTTGTTTCTGCCTAACCGCTGACCATTTTTCGAACCGAACCCACCCACCATGCTCATCGAAAGGCCTGGTGAATGCGTTCGATGATCTCTTGACGACCGCCGATTAGTCTACATTTATCAGTAACTTGCTTAGCTCTATGTATTTAGCTTTTATTTACATTGATTATTTCAAGAGTTTCGCTTCTGCTTCTGCTTCGTTTGTTGTGTGTTTGCTTATCTGTGTTTATGTGGGTTCGTAGAACTAAATAACTTAGACGATTGCTTAAAATACGCAATGCTTTTGTGAGTGCAAACCAATCCGTTTAAAACAAATTAAAATAGTTGCTCTGCGCCGGCTGATTTGTGTTGTGTATGGTGTGTGTTTGTGTGTTTGGGGGGCTTAAAAATTCACAAATCGTTTAAAAAGACTGAAATCACGAAAACGAAAGTTGTTTGCTTTGGGTTTTGGTCTTAGATGCGTCTGCTGCGAACGCCCTCAGCCCGGGTCTTCCACTCCGGATCGTTAGGGTCGTCGTCCTCGAAGGGATCGTCGGCCATGTCCTCCTCAAGCGCGTCCGGATCGCCCAGGTAGGCATCGATCGCCGCATCGTACAGATCCTGCTCGGCATCCGGCGTCGACGGCTCTTCATCGTCCAGCGGTGCCAGATGGTGCTTAGGATAGTCGTCGTCCTCCTCCTCTAGCAGTATGTCCTCCTCTTCCGGCTCGGAAACTTCAGTTTCTTTACCACCTTCTGCTCCGTTTACCTTCGTTGCTGCTGCCGGATGACCATTTAGCCGATGATTTAACTGGCCATTTAGTTTAATCTTAGTCTTGCTGCTGCGCCGACTACTGCTGCCTCCAGTGGAGCTGGGACCGTCGCAGTTCGAGGATATTGACTTGCTCTTGGCCCGCTTTGGGCCGGACATCGATCTGGGCGTCGCGTACGTCTCGGCCAGCAATCGCTGGTAGACCTCGTCGGAGAGCGGAAAGTGCAGGGGCTCAAAGGGCGATGGCATCAACGCATAGGGCTATTTAAAAAGGAAGATTTTTAGTTAGGCAGAGATATTTTGGCAATACAAATTCCGACTCACCTCCCGCAGATCGGGCGTAGTGCTGCGCCGCTCCACCTGATCCTTGAGCTTGCTGGACGTAGTCCGACGACGGGCCTGGCGCGCCTGTCCGCCCGCCAGCAGCTCGCCGCTGTCGTTGAACCCGTCCAGTGGATGGGCCAGGGGCGAGGGAATGCTTTCGTTGTCGTGCCCAAGCCCGCCCAAGTGAGGAGCTGGCGAGGCGGGATCCGGAGTATTGGCGCCACTCGACTCTGCACGACTGTCGACGCGCCGATTCGCACGTGATCGAGTGCTCCAGGGGAACTTGAGGAAGGTCTCGAAGCGGCGACGCTCCTCGATGAGAGCGCGCTGATGTCGCAGGATGAACGCTTCATCCGAAAGATCTTCCTTGCCATGCTCCTCCTCCTCGTTTTCGCGGGTCTCTGGTTTCAGCTCTACCAGCTGTCCATTTGCCTTTGATTTGAGGACCTCGTCAGATGGCGTCTCCAGCTTTGGTCTCTTGGGCAGTGGTGGCTCTGTTGCTGGCTGAGCAATCTCTTCCTGCTTCTCAGCAGTTTTATCATTCGGATTTTTTGCCAAATTACCATTGAGCTTGGGTTTGACCACCTTTTCCATCTGCTCCTCTGCTTTTTTCAGCGGATTGGAATCCTCTACAGCCTTGGCCTCATCCTTTTTGGCAATGCCATTTACCAGTCCATTTTTATTATTATTGTTGTTTGTATTGTTATTATTGTGCTTGACTGCTTGCTTCTCCTTCAAACCATTGACCTTTGGAGGCTGCACGGCCGGCTGTTCTTGTGGTTGCTCTGGTTTTTCTGATGGCGGCTGGGGTTTGGATGGCTCCTCTGACGTTGATGCGCCGACGCTGCCATTGCTCACTTTGCAGTCCGCTGACTCATCCGACGAATGCTTTGCCTTATCATTATCACTGTCTACAATGCGCCACCTGGAAGTAAAGATACGGGGTGATTAGAATTTACTGGAGAGTGTTTGGTTCTAGGGGCAATAATGATTATAATCATATATATATATTATAATCATACCATTAACATGGAATACTTACTTGGGTATGGGAATCTCCTTGTAGGGAAGAATTTCCATTTTCGACTGGGCTAACATACTGTAGGGTATAACAATGTTATTGATGTCATAGATGGGACGAACGCGACGCTCCGAGGTTCTGCAAGGGAAAGCAAAGAAATGTGTGAAAGATCTTATTTTCTCGGGAATATTATTGGGATCCCTTATATCGGAACCCTTTAAGGAAGAATCATTTCTGTTGAAAAATCTCAATATCAGGAGAAGTTCAGACCAGCTAACATTCCATATCCACAAAGTCGAACCGAGAGTTCTTGAGATCCATCCACCATTTTCATATTTACCTCTCATTTCGATGGCTGTGGGTGGGCGAGGAGTTGCGACGACTCCTGCTCTGGTCCCCCCACTGATCCCCGTAGCCGTTGAGATGATGGTTGTTGATGTTGCTGCCGTGTTGATGCTGCTGCTGCTGTGTGGAATTGCTGCTGCTGTTTGTGGACTTGCGTGACTTCTTAGCGCCGCTGGCTGCCGAGATCGAGGTTGAGGAGGGACTGTGGTGGCGTGGTCGTTGGCGTTGGCGAGAGTCTGGCCACAGCGAGCTGGAATTGTTCGCTCCAGTTGGTTGTTGTTGTAGTGGTGGTTGCCTCTTGCCCTTGGCCGCTGCTGCTGGTGTTGCGTTAAATCCGTGATTGGAATGCGGAACAGGGACGAAACGGAGACAAGAACGGAATGGCAAATAAAACAATTGGTGGAGTTTTGTCGTAGTTGTTGTTGTTGTTGGTGGAGGTTGTGGTATTGTGGAATTTCGTGTTTTGGTTGATCGATGCAAAGAAAAAGAAGAAGAAGAGATGCAAAAGATTGTTGTTGTTTTATGTTAATAACAATTATCGAATTTCGTCATGTTTACAATAATTTACTGTTGGCCACAAGTGGCGTTGTAGTAGGCGTAGTAGAAGAAGAAGTAGTAGCAGTACCAGTACCGTTTCCGCTATCCCCTCCCCCGACGCCACTGCTTCCGGTTCCGCTTGCTCCTCCTCCTGCAGCAGCAGCTTTAACTCCGCTGCCAGCCTCCTTATTTGAGTTGTTGTTGCGCTCCTTGCGTCGTATATAACGCCGCTTGACCGCATCGCCCGATCGCCGGCTGCCCGCCGCTCCGCCAATTCCGCCAGAGGCCAGCGTCTCGCGCTCCGCCTTCCACATGGCCTTCACAATGGCCTTGGCCTGGCAGCGCATGACTCGGTACTGCCAGTCCGGCTGGCGGGCAATGGCCTCCAGATGCACAGACTGGCTGACATCTGGAACAAGGGGAGAAAACAGGAATGATGAGCAAACAATCGAAAGAGCATAAAGGACCATATTCAGTGGAAACTCCCACTTACCACTGGCGAAACTGAGCACTGGATGGTAGCCAGCATCGAGCAGCGCCACCCGGTTGGCCGGCATCATCGTTTCGACCAGATCCCGGGGCGCTGTGGGATCCGTGCGACCTGTGCACAGGGTGCATGGCACCTGCGGCCACTGGCAGCCACACTTGATGTTGCTGGGCCGCGCGGCCTTCTTGGAAATCGTGTGCATGTTCGTGGTCTGGAAGAGCTTGCGCTTGTGGAACTCGGACAGCACCAATGGCCGGGCCCGACTGCAGAGATAGTCGCCGGAGGGCTCCTCCTTGATGCCATTTGCAGGCGGTGGCAGCGGAGGCGATGTCTTAGCCAGCTGAACCTCGCCCTTGGACTGGGTCAGCTCCGAGAAGAGGTCGCTGTGCTGCCGGATCTTCATCTCCAGGTCGGTCAGCTGGGAGCAGAGCCACGACCAGCGCAAGGCTATGGCTGCCCGATCTTTCGAGTACCGCCAAACAGCTCGTCGAGTGCTGGAAGAGATAGAAATAAACATGGATTATAAACAGGGAAATATATAGAAATATATATAGTAGTTTTCAAAATTTTCAAAAATATACTTGAAATGTTAAAACGTTCCTTGTGAAGTAAAGTAATTATTATAAACCCCCTTAAATTGTCGTCATTTATTCAGGGCTACCAAAAATCATATTATTTAAAACAGCTGTCAAAAGTAAATTCTTATAAAATCTTTCTGTGGAAGGAACTGATAAAAATAAATACGTCCCTGTTCGGAACCACTAATTTTAAAAAAAAAGTGACAGAAAAGGACGGCTTCCAAGCTCAAAAGACACAAACGAAAGCAGTTTGATAGTTAAATCGCCTAGAGCATCAACAGATATAAAATGGAATATAGCAAAGTTTGGAACTTACATGGATAGCGACAGCTGCTGGGTGTTGTTGTAGGAGACCATCTCGTCAGCAGACTCGCCGCCAGAACTTGACTCTGTGGCGTCCGAATCGATGGCGTTCTGCACCTCTCGCAGTTCCGTGTGCAGCAGACCGGCCACATGGGTGAGTTCACTTGTCACATAGGTGTCGTAACTGGGCACGATGTCGTCCGCCCGCGGCGTATTCGAATCCGTTGCGGCAGATGCCGTCGTGCCCGGCGCCAGTCCCGATGGTGCCAACGATGATGTTGACGCCGCTGTTCCCGTTGATATCGCAGAATCCAATTGATTCTTTCGCGGACGCTTTGCCGGTAGCGTTGAGCTGTTCGTGTTGTTGTACCAGCTGGAGGATGGCGCCAGGGTAGCGGAGCTTCCGTTGGCCGAGTGGCAGATTTGCTGATGGCGGGCCGCCGTCGAAATGTGCCGAATCACATTGCCCATTTGACTGGCGGGAAGCGGATGCTTGTTCTGCTCCTCCCAGAAGGTGGGGCCCGGACGTCCGGAGACAATCGACAGGACGGTGGCCTCCTGCTCGGACAGTGTGGCACTTCTCGCCGGAATGGGAGCCTTGTGGGAAGTGCGGGCGGACCACTCCATTATGCCGGCTACCTCCTCGCTGGTGTGGCGGCACATGGCGCGGGCTTGGAGCTTGCGCATCCTGCGCAGCAAGAACTCGATCCGGCGCGAAATCACGTGCTGCTGCTGCTCCAATTCAGCATGGACATCCTGCCAGGGTCGCTGCTGCTCCTGTTTTATGATCACATTGGCCTGGGAAATGCTGTTGCTGCCGCTAGCCAGGATGTCACTGCAGCTGGGCTTCACATCCGACAGCTCGACCACATTTCCAGGAGCCGCTGCCGGCAAGGCCGTAGCCGGAGCCGCCTCTTCCCACACCTCGTCGAAGAATTCGCAGATGGTATCGGGATTGACATGGCCGCCGTCGAATGTCTTTAGCGCCTTGAGCACCTCCTCGATGTCCTGATCCTCCAGCACGGCACCGGCGGCTCCGTCCTTCAGGAAATTAATGGAGGTGGAGGTGCTTTGCGGCGTCATCTGTTGGGGTGGTTGCTGCTGTTGGGGCCTGCTGGGCGTTCCTGGCGGCTCCTGCAAGGGTGGCGCAACAGGAGGCGGAGCCACAGGCTCCTCGGGCATCGCACTGGCATTGCCATCCAGCTGACTGAGACGCTCTGAAACAGTAAGCCAAGTAAACATTGAATATAGACGTTTCATTTGGAGTAACACATTGACCTACCCTCTATATTATCTGTTTCTATCTTTGGCAGCTCCTCCTCTGCTGAGGCTACCGGCGGTGTGTCACCTGGCAAACCGCTGCAGGAACCTGCAGAACTGGTGGCCACTGCCAGGACAGAGGCAGGCGTGGCCGGCTCCTTGCCCAAAGTCACATCGGGCAGGGTTTTCCTCAGGCAAATATCGGCGGATATGGTCTCCTCAAAGTTGATGGTCAGATCCGCCAGCAGCTGGGCCGTTGAGTTGTCCTTGGGAGTGGAGCTGTTGCTAGTAGATGTGCTGTTGCTGCTGTTGTTGTTATTGTTGTTGTTGTTCTCCACAGTGGAGGTGGAGGCCTCCGCTGCATCCGCCGTGGTATTGGGCGCACTGCTGCTGTGTGTAGTAGGGGCGGTGCTCAGGCCCATGGGTTCATTGGAACGCCACTTCCTCTTGTTATTGACTGCTGGGGAGGATCTTTGCTGCTGCAGCTGCGGCTGCTGTTGCTGCTGCGGCGGGGAAGAGGCCACTGAGGCCGCTGCCGCCGAGGAGCGGGTGACCCTCGTGGTGGCCGTGGCCGGAGTGGGCGTCGCTGGCTTCTTGGCCACTCCGCCGGCTCCTACTCCAATGCCTCCAACGCCTCCGCTCTCCAAAGAGCTGCGGGCCGAGGGCGAGGCTGTGCTGGTTAGCTTCTCCTTGGGACTTAGTGGCTCGGCTGTGAGCGCTGGGGCCATCGTTCTGATGCTGATGCGTCGGCCGGCTGTTGCGGCATTTGGTCCGCTCGACTCCTGAAGGCTACTGCTCGATGCTAGTCCTGTCGAGGATTTTGAAATGAAACGGGCTATTATTTCGACAAATCGACAGGCAATTCAGCGTTTTGAAGGCAAACGACAGGCACACTGTTTGATTTTCGAAAATGCCCGAGTGCTCAGCTATCGGTTACTATATTTGTGTAGTTTTTTCTTTCGTTTTATCTCGCTTAAACTGCCCGCCTCCCTAAGAATTCGACAAAAAAAATCGGAATCGTTTTGTCTTTTCCGGCGTGTTATGTACATATGCTACATACATATATGTACACGCACTCAAACACACGCACACACATAGCGACGCTCTGGCCAGCCAGAGAGTCGGGCCGAGTCAATGAGAGCGAGAGAGAGGTCAGAACGCGCGCTATTGCACACCATGATGCGCAATAAAAAAACTGTATAGAACTCGCACAAACACACATACAGAGCGATGGACAAACAGACAGACTACTTTACATACTGACGAAATCATTGCGGTTCATCTTGAAAATCACAATTTTCCAAGAATTTGCATCATTGGCTGGCGGAAAATCGCCCAATCTTTATGTAATTCCGTTTATTGAGTTTTTCCACCACAATTAGCCATGCAAAACGGAAAACTCGCGCCTTTACAAGCACACTCACTGGCGCACATAAACACACACACGCACACGTGCAACTGTGTGCTCCAATATTTTCAGTTATTTACACAATCGCATTTATTGTATTCCACATGTCTGCATTACTTCCGATTACATTCAAATCGGTTAAATGTGCTTATGTAGAACTATATTTGCCCGATTCCAGCGATTCGAGTGGTGGAAAAAACGTTTTCAGCGCGAAAGTACTCACTGGTACTCACTAACACACATGCACACACAGAGACGGCAGGCAGTCAGCACGCAAGAATTTTGTAAATTGCTTAAAAATTAAGTAGTATATTTTTTTCGTTATACGCACAATTCGGCCGTTCCGCAAAAAATGCCCTTCGCACAATTGGCAAATAAACTGCGCTTACACAATGGCGTGACTCGCGCTATCGGGAATTTTACGGTACGGAATTACGGTTCTCGCTTCACGGATTTTTTTCCTCATTTATTTTTTTCATTGCTTTTGCCTTTGCTTTGGGCTGCCCTGCTACGCTTTTGGCAAAACGACGTGTATCGAAGCTGTACTCGTTTCTGTGCCAGACCAAAGTGCGCTGCCGCCCAGCCGGTTGTCTCGCTCTCGCACGTGCGCCGCCTATGGCGGTGGCTCGGCGCAGGGCTGTGTGTGCGAGCGAGACAAGTGGTGGGACTGAGTACTTTTTGACTATATGGCAACGCTGGGCGGCTGGGCTGCTACCAGAAAATGCAACCCTGCTTTGTTTTGTTGTTTTTGTTTTGGGAATACATATATTTGGTGTGGTGTGGGAATATTTAGGGATTTTTGAAATTATTCTTCAAGCCTCTGGTTGTCCTTTTAATAATCCATTTCTAACGTCTTATATCGAAGGTACTGAAGGTATAGGCCTCGATTTCCTGAGCTGGCGTGAATTCGGCCTTTGAGATCTTCGAACTGGGACTTCCCTTGGTCTGGAGCCAATGTTTCCTGTAAATTGTTGAGGATGGTTAAATGAATGTTTTGGCCACCCAAAAAGAGGACATTACATTTCGTTTAGTTCCGCCAGGGGAGCCTCCAGTTGTCCCTTTACGGTTCCATCTCGGGTATTCATGCACCAGCCTTTAACACCCAGAGTTTTGGCCGTCTGTTCCGTGTACTGGTCCAAAAAGAGGATCATGTGGATCTCTGCAAACTAAATAATCCAGCGGGCACTTACCTTGCGAAAAAAGACACCTGAAATGGTCAAATAATAGCTGTTAGATTAATCAGATCGAATGGATAGTAGGTTCCCACGCAAAATACCTTGCACTTTACCAAACACTTCGAAATTGCAGGCGAACAGCTGCTTGGCAACTCCAGATCCTGCCATTATGGCGTTGGGATCGGATTTTGTAAGCCCTTCCGAACTATCAGCACCTGAATATTTAAATACAACCAGTAAAAACAATGATCTGACAACCAAAATAGAATTATTATAAAATAGTGCCATAGTGACCAGGGCGCCAACAAAAAACCAGGGCAGTTCAAAAAGAATACGGAATATACTGTGACCATATCAGTGATGACCGTGATTTTTTAGCGAGCACACCCATCATTAAAAGTAGCAATTTAAATAGTTACTGCTCACATAAGAAAAAGGTTTTGATAAATTACTCACTTTTTCGTGGACATGAGATATTTAATTAACAAACATTTTAATAATTAATTAATAACTCACTTCTAGTACTAATCGACCGTTAAATATTTATTCAGTGATTCTCAAATCACGGTTAGCGAGTACACACACCATCCTCTAAGTTGTTAGTCCCACCTCTAGTCTAAGTTTACCGTTGTTTTTTTCGCTGGACGCCAAAAAGTGATCGTTGCAAAAGATTAGTTGAAGCCACTTAAAGTTTAGCAGGTATAGCCCGTTTAGTTTGGTGTGATCTGCACCTAGTACCTAAATACCTGCAACTTAATTTTACTGCTTATTTAGAACCCAAAATGGCGGGGGCGAGGAAAAGAGCTGGCTCGCAAATCGTGAGTGCGGTTCGGCCAAAATCGCCAAGAAAAAGTACAGTCGCCGAATCTTTGGGTACTCAAATCCCCAAGGAGAACTTTGGGGACGCTAAAAGGACCCAAATACAAGAAAAACCCCCACCACTTGAAAAAGTTTTCAAGAAAAGGGACGTTCAAAGGGTACCCCGCTGTGAGACACCAATAAATAAACCACCAAAAAGTCCAAAACCTGAAGTTAAACCTTTGGAAAAACCAACTCCCTCTATCCCCGTGAAGTCCCCGAAAAAAAAGTTCAAGAAGTTGCCCAAAACACCGGAAATGTTGTGGAAAGACATCAAGAATTTGTCTCCTGGTACTGGGGCAATTCTAGATTGTTTTATGAAGCAGCACAACGAATCACTCTCAAATTTGAAAAGGCGAGACTCCATGACTAGCAAGAAAATGCGGGAAATCACCATGGACGCTTTGAAAAAAAATACGGAAAATGTTAGCCTGAACAAAAAGTAAGGCTAAGACTTACCATTTTAATAAAGTTCCCTCCTGCAATGAATATATTCTTAAAGGTTGGCTAACACCCAGCTGGAGCTGACCCATTTGAAGAAGGAACTGGCGGACCAGATGGAAAAGAACACGGAGAACATCAATAAATTTAAAAAGATCAATCAAAAGTTTACCGAGTGCGAGAAAAACTACGATAAGGAGCTGGGAATCATAAAAGCTTGCGTGGAGATGAAAAACTCCGAAGTTAAAGCCGCCCAATCTCGAATTGGAGAACAGGATCGCGAGGTAAATGAACTCTTGTCTTATTAGAATCACATCAGATTAAAAACTTATATTGCAGCTGAAAAATATGCAACAAACCAATCGCGAATTGGCTGGCGCCATGAGTAACTATAAATTGGAAATGGAAAAGGCCCAAATGAATAACTCTGAGATTCTGGCGCACCTTACTGAACTGACGCAGGCATACGATGCCCTCAAGCATCAATTTAGTGATTTGAGTGCACAAAAGGATATTTGTGAGGTTTGTGGTTCGGCTCTATAAATAATTACTTATAAGAATCTATCATCATTACACATATTATCATGTTAGACCTCACAATTTGAAATTCTTTGTCTTCGTCATTTAATTATTCAAATGTATTCCATTTTACTCTTTAAAAGAGATGCCTTTATTGATTTACTGTTTGCATTGTCTTCCCAGGCAAACATTGTACAACTGAGCACCGAGTTAAACGATAAAATGGTTACCTGCGCCGAACTTGAAGATCGCGTTGAACAGCTTCCCATAGAAGCGAATAAGGCTTTGTCAAAACTGCAAAATGAGTTGGAAGCCAACCAAATGCGCTGCCAGGAGCAGCAACGATTGACCGATCAAGCCGAAAAAGAGCTTGAACTATCTCGAAACGAGATTAATACTTTGAAAACTCTTATGGAGGAAAGGGAAAGAAGCCACATTAACCTTACTGGTGAACACCAAAAAATGACGGCTAGACTGGTCGAACTCGTTGATATCAACGAACATTATTCTAAGGAATTGGCTGATACTAATTTAAAGCACTCTCAAGATATGAAGAAAGCAGCTTATAAGCACGAGGTAAGCCCAATAAAAAAAATAAGTAGGCATTTCCTTATTTTATTTCAATCATTTTTAAATCATTTTGATAGACCGCCATTCGTGAGCTAAAAAGCCAATTGGACAAGGCATCTCTTGATTTCACAAAGCTAAAGGACAGCAGTGAGGCACTACAAAAGGAAAAACTTCTGGAGGCCTCGCAACTCCAAGGAGAGATTGATGCTTTAAAGTTGCATCGCAGTAATGAGCAGGAGGTTATAACAAAATTGTCCAATGAACTTGAAATAAAAACTTACAGTTTTGAAGAAAAACTAAAGGTACAGCACGATCAGCTTTCCAATCGAATGCAGGTCATGAGGACCGAATTTGAAACCGAGTCTCAGCGAGCTGCAGTGGAAATTGAGAGACTTACAGTTGCCCTGCAGCAAAAGGATGAAAGGTTCAAAACTCAACAGGAGAAGTTGCGAAGTCTTCTGACTGATCATGATAAGCTAAAGGATACTTTGGCCCATCTTGAGGCTAAAAATGAGAAAATGGCTAATGAATTTTCTGCATCTAAGTTTCAATTAAGTCAAGAGCTAAAGACCCAGAAAGATAACTTAATGGTGGGTATTAAGAATTGGGGAAACTTTTTCATATTTATCTGTATTGTATCATTTTTTCCTCTATAGAAAAAGGTTTCCGGATTGGAGCTCGAAATTAAAAACAAAGAAGCCAAAATGCTTGAATTGGAACGGGACAAGAATGTAAGTCCAAGGTAATTAATTTCTTTAAACAAATTGTTAGCTTTTATATTATGTCCAACAGAATGAAATGGCCGTACTCCAGTTCAAAATGAACCGTATTAATAGTGTAATCGACCAACCAGTGACGACAATATCTAAACTCCCAGAACCCAAGGGGCTGTCCAAAACTCAAAGCAACCCGAATAAGGTACAACCGGAAGAATCCGATGGTTTTCCGAGCTCTTCTTCAAAGAAGCGTACTGTTCGACGTCATCGAATTACTACCATACATGCATCAGACTTCGAAAGTGAAGATGACCTCCCTGTAAGTAATTATTAAATGATCGTGAATTTGCAAATTAAATAATCGTTAAATATATTATTGTTACAGATTGTAAAAGAACCCACTAGCGGAAAACGCCCCAAATTATCTGCATTTGTTAAACCACAGGCGGAACCAGATTTGTTTGACATGCTGAAGAGGTCAAATTAGTTAAGAAAACGTACTACGTTTTTGAAGTCATATTACCTTTTTAATTTTCAAATAATACTGAAGAATACTGAGTTCAGAAATGAATTCAGAACTTTCCATTTCATTTACATCTATTTCTTTAAAAACTTGTATCTTCAAGTTATTTCTAAGAACATGATTTCTTTTTCATTGTCCTAACTTTCTTACATTGTTGAATTAATATTCTCATAAAAATAATAGATTAAGGTTCAAAACAAAAACACAAGTATATTAAATTTTTTTATTGAAACTAAGAACCAATTTATCTCGATTTAGTACATGATACCTTCTATTCAAGGACATTAAACACTTACTAGATTTTGAAAGCATACCAAAAGTAAAAACAGGTAAAAACAATACGCAAAAAATAACAACTTTTCTAAACTACGTTTTGATGATCTTTATCAGGTGGTCCACGTCAGCGGCATCCACCACACCATCTGCCTGCATGCCGGAATCCTCCATTGCCTTCCGGGTACCACTCCCCACGGCTATCAACTTGCGATCCTTAAGGGATACGTTGTAGTTCTCGAAGAACTCCAAGGAACTGCGGACACTGGAGGGTCCAAAGAAGACAATCGTCTCCATGCGCTTGAACTTGAGGGCATGTCGCATATGGTTGACAAAATCAGGGTGGGATCGACTCTCGTACACTTCGCAAGCATCCACGCGGAATCCCTGAGCCACCAAACGGAGTCGCAGCGTCTGTCCAACGCCATTGCCACAGGGCATCAACAGCGGCAGATCCCTCTTGGGTCCGAAAGTCTCCACGATCAGATCGCACAGATTATTAGCATTTACCGCGTGATCACCCAAAGTAGGAAGATTCTGCAATGTAAACCACGCCGAGCTATGGGTATTCTTCCCCAGGGAGTAGTTGTGCAAGGGTCGCCAGCAACTGGGAAGAGGAGCCTTGTCCAGAGCCTCGTTAACCGCCTGGACACATCGTGGAGCCGCAAAGATAATCCCTGCATATTTGTGTGGTTCCATTAGCTTAGCCTGCAATTGCTTCAGGTTCTTGAACACAAAATGCGACGGAGCTATGAATATGGGATCCAGATTATTGCTGCGCAAAGCCGAACCATAATAATCATCAGAGGTCGGAACTTTCAGTAGGATAACCGGTCGCTTATTACGGTCTCCCATGGTTCAAGGTAAAATTATTTGAAGTAAACTAAATAAGAGAAATTTTATATTTGTGTTTAGCGTTCGACTTGTACAGCGTTTGATTCGTAACGGAATTGAAAAGACAATGCTTGAAAACTTTCACCGCGCCATTCGAGAAACAGTTTTTAAACCTTTTGTTTGACAAAGAAAGAACAAAAATCTCACCTACTTACACCGAAGAACTTTTTAAATTAAATTAGAAACCAACAAATTAACGTATTACTTCTGGAATGGTATCACAAGCATTTGCATCGCAATAGTTTATAATTTTATACATTTATATGGAAAACAAGTGAGTTGAGGACATAAACCAAGTAATTGTAAAAATAGCAAGTACCAATTATTTATAAATCCGTTTAAACAGCTCCCATCTGCAGAATGGGCGTGAATAGTTTGTAGGCCTTCTCGATAAACTGCACGGCGGATAGCATTTCGGAGAAGAATGTGCTGACGCGGGCTTTTGCCTCCTCCGGTTCCGGTTTGCCACTGAGAACGGCGGCAAATCGGTGGGTGAGACCTTGGATGTGCCCATTAAACTGCTGGCAGAGATTGACAACGCCGTCCACCTCGTTAGCGGTGCTGTGATGTGGTTTAACCAGCAAAAGCTCGGCGATCTTGTGAAGCTTGCACATCTCTAGGGCGCAGGCTTCGCTTAGGGCATGGATGCTCTTGGCATAAGCCTGCTCCAGATCGCCGGAGGTGGCCTCCTCGGAGTTTAACCACTCAAGGGATTGTGTCCAGTGCCTGAAAGAAGAGGTTTTGATTTTTAACTACTTAATTTTCTTAAATTCAGTTACTGACTTTGCTATATCATCGAACTGGATCCCCAGCTCGGCATCTTTAATGGTGGCCGCCAGTCGCTCGCTCAGCTCCTGCGCCTCGTAGTCGCCCTCACTCTCCACATCAAGATCTTCCAGTTCGAGCAGCTCCTTCACCTCGTTTATGGTTTCCTGCAGTTCGGCCAAAGCATTGCCACTGACTGCATCCAGAAGGTTGTCTAGCTTGAGCCGTGATTCCTTGGACAGGATTTCCAGGGCCTCGAAGTGCACCAGGCCGCAATAGTGCTCGAAAAGGACCTCGAAGCGCAGCTGCGCCTTCTGCCTTTCCAGCTGCAGCTGCTGCATAGATTGTTCCATCTGGTCAGCATCCTTTTTAGCCTCCAGCAGCACGGCACTCAGATTTGGTGAGTTGGTCTCCAGGCCAAGGAGCTTCCTCTTGTTCATCAACTTCGGATCGTTGTCCTGCAGAATAGTCATGGTCTTTTTGCCAATGCCTTCGAGTGTGTCCAGACCGGTGTTGATCACTTTAGAGCCCAGATTGGTCACAAAACCCAGGCCAAAGGCGGGCGCGGCCTCATTTTCATCTTGGATGACTTCCTCGGGAGTCTTCTCCTTTTCCAGTGGCGGTTCCTTGGCAGCCTTCTCCGCCTTCTCAGCTACATTGATGCGAGCCAGTTCCTCGGGATCGGGCACTCCTATAATTTGATTCAGGCCCTGGTTCACTTGACTACTTATAGTGCCCAACCCCTCCGTGGCGGTGGACAACACAGAGCTGAGTTTGCCGCCCCAGAGACCCCAGGATGACGAGGCGGCGGCGGCTGAAGCTGTGCTGCTTGGAGAAACTCCCGGAGTTTCCAGCTTCTCCTGATTTTCCCCCACTGCTGTTTTTGCGTCGTTTCTGGTCGAGACTTTCTCCTCCTCCTGCTTGGGATCCTTCTCCACGTGAACAAACTTGTCCTCGTCATCGCCCCAGTCGTCCCAGTTGTCTTCCTCATCACTCTGCGCCCAGTCGTTGCCGGCGTCGTCCTCCTTTTTTGGATTTTTAGCCATTATTTATTTATTTATTTCCACGTAGAATTTTAGATTTTGCGTACTCCCATTGGCTGGGCTGCCAGCTCACTGCAGAAATAACAGCTGTTAACGGCTAGGCTGCCCACTTGCTGTTTTATCGAAAACTTAGCGCGCTTATCGGTATTTGAATATTATTTTATAAATGATGAATATTATGTATAGTGTACCTTTAATATACTAGCTGAAAAGCCAGGTGAATCAAAACATGGAACCGTTTTAACAATGTTTATTGTTTAAAGTTGTAAAGATCTTAAATTATAAAATGTTGCTTTACAAATATTTTATTTATAGAATTTCTGATGATATTCTTTTAACTTATTATTGAAAAGAATCTGGAACCGTCTTTCCGCATAAACGTCGAATTGTACTTTTCGTTTGAGGGTTTATTAAGACATACACCATAGTTTTATTGTAATCAAATGGTCAATTCAATTCGATAAAAAAGGTAGCGCTATTGTTAATGTAAGGACCTTTGATGCCATGGCATCGTTTGACTTTTGCTCTCAAAAGAAGACCATAAATAATTTGTGCCTGCCCAAATTCCCTCACCTGGACTCACGCACACACTGCATACAAATTGAATTGATATTAGTTTGTGAAATATTTAAGCTGCCAAATACCAAACACCGAACAAATGTGTCGTGTGTGCGTGTGCAGTGTTTTCCAGCTTTTCCCTCACTTGGGCACCTGTTTTCCCTGTAAATCCCACTTTTTCATGGCACTTCCTTTGTTTCTTATTGCGATGAGATGGGAATTTGTGTTCTAATTTCAAATAAAATGCAAACATTATTGTTTGCCTCGATATTGTGTTGTGCTTTTGTGGATAATTCGAATTTTGTTGGGTTTCCTATCGAAGATGTTGGCGAGAAGTCAATTGCAAATTACAGTGACCACTAGCCTTGTTTTTGCTTGCTAAACATTTTATTTTTGCAAAATTCGAGGTCGAAAAAATGACTCTTGAAGGAAGAATTATTAAAGATTTGTAATTATTTCTGAAATCTAAAATATACAAATTTTCATTTTAATTAACGATAACATATATTAGATTTTAGATTTAATATTTACCAATGTTTTCTTTTGCATCCTCTATGTTTTATTAGAAAATCTCTGAGTGGCTTAGTTTCTATTCAAGTTTACCGTGTTTTTCGCCGAACTTTCTGGTTTTGCCAAATTGTCCCAAATCTAACTGGGCTCATAAATTAGAAAATCACACTCGCACGTATGTGCGTATACAAATGTGCGTTCATCAGGCCAAAAACCGAAAAGTTTTGCTAGCTGAGCTAACCAGCATATAAATTTGACAGCAACGTTGAAGCAGCGCAAAATTAACAAACCAACACATTTGTGCCCACACACACACCTTTCGCATAAACAAGGAATTTTCATAAACTTGCTGCACAAGAGTTTTCCACTTTCCCAGTTTCCCAGCAAGAAGAAGGAACCACACGAATATTTCGTCAAGCCGGGAAATTTATCTTCCGCAGGCAACGAGAAGAAGAAGGAGACCTCCACCTCTATACCATATCTGTGATAAGCGTAATTTTTTAATTAAAATCTTAAAAAAAAAGTAGTGGTTCACTTCCGCAAAACCCAAAAACCGCTAAAATGTCAGTTAAGAAATAAAATACCTTGGCATGCCTGTGCATTTCCCAGCCAAATTGCCTTAAAGTGGGGCACTCAAACCATCTCAGTTACTTGAGGCTAGTAATTGCATGTTCTGTGTCTTGTCTGGGCCAAAAATTAAATGTAAATTTGCAGAGGATAGGTTTACATGTGCGTGAGTCAAGGTAAAAGCTTAAGAAGGAGTGTGACATTCTAGGGCATTTCAATAGGTATAGGTGTTAACTTAAAAAAATTTTTTAATAAAAAAAAGTTACATAACTTTGGCAATTTTTTGTCTAAGAAAAATATCTTATAACTTGTAGGTTATAATGTATGTTATAAATATAGTTATTAAACTTTTCTTTGTTCTAAAAAATATTGCACAAATATTTTCCCACTCCAAACTTGTTATAAATATTTTAATTAGTGATATTAAATCCCCAGAGATTACTGTGGCAACTGCCCACCCCAGCAAATCTCAAAGCATGCCCTTTGATCTTGCCCTTGGCAATCAATCTTTTATTAAAACACTGCTTCTATATCTCAAATACAAAATAGAGTGTCTAAGCTCAAACTACAGCCCTACAATGTATTGCCAACACGAAATTAAACCTCAAAATTTGTTTTAACTATTGGCAAACAAGGGAGAAGTGGGCCAGAGTGTTTTTGGGAACCCCGAGGAGATGACAACATTGATGAGGCTCCTTCACAAAAACGCACACACATCCTCCTTGTCGGGGAACTAATATCTGGAGAAGAGCTTCGCATGACACCCACATCCTCTTCTCAACCCACTTTCTCTCCAGGACAACAATGTTATTGATACCTCCGCCGAATCCCCGGACAAACAAGAGAACCCTTTTGGCAAGTTCCCTCGAGCATATTGTCTCAGTGTCTCCGTGTGTCTGTACAAATTTTATTCCCATCGACTTGATGTTTCTTTGTGAAGAGTTTTGCCGATGACAATAAACCAAACTTCCAGCTGTTTATTAACATGTTTCTCTGTCAATATACACAAATATATATATATTCTCCTATCTATAAATACACGCACGAGTGTGTATACTCTATATATATATATTCAGTGCCAAATTGACGATGATGCTGATGAGATGGGTTGAAGGGGCGGGAAAGTGATGGAATCCGGTCCCGGACACATATCTCTGTCCTACAAGTATCGCTTTACAAGTGGAAAAATTCCTTTAGGCCAAAGTGTGCATTAAGAAGATTGTTTTACTATTGTTGTAAGACACCCAAAACGTACACATTTATCTATACTTATAAATACCAACACACTCACGCAGATACTTTAACTACATGAATATTGGAGGGACACTGAGGGAAATACTTCTTTTTAAAAGTACAGAAAAACATTTTTTCGATTTATAAATTACATTTTAGAAGCATTTATTGTTGAAAGTACGTTAAAATATAGTGTAACATTTTTACAAAAAATAAGTAAATTAGAAAAAAAAACTTTAGAAGTTATTGTTATAGATTATATTATTACTATTTTTTTTGTAAATATCATTCAGTTTACTTTTATTCTTGACATTGTTACTATTAATGATGAAATATTTTTAAAACGTTTTGGTTCTTATTCAATTTGTATAATTTTTTTAGAATTTATAAAACGTTGGAATAATATTAGAATTTTTCTTTTTTTCT